AATTAAAATAAAAAAGAATACTTGAGATCTATTCTCTAAGAAGCGTGTTAATTGCATACAAGTATAGAAACATCTAGGAGCGACACATTCAAGTTAGCATTTAGGATAAGCACAGGGTAACCCCTCCTGATTTTCTAATAATGAGTTTGTGGAAGCAAGTGAATACATTTCCCGTCATTTTGCTTGTTCTCCCTGTCTCTCAGACGCTTGCCTAGAAAAGGCTATAATGGTGTAAAATAAATAGAAATGACTTCAATTCCCTTTAACACTAAGTACACAGAAACCAGCTTACACCCAGAAAAGCAACTAAGAGGGAAACGGCTTGGCGTGAAAGAAGAGAAACTGCAGGCCAGGCAAGTCCTTACAGGTGGGATGCACTCGGGGTGTGAGAGGAATGTATCCTGTTAACCCACGGAGGGACTGAATTAAACGAAGGTACACTCTTCTGAGATGTTATGTCTCTTTCTCCAGAACAAAACGAAAGACCAGCTCTTTCCTGAGGCCTTTCTTTAGGCTCTGGCATAACGAGGCGGGTCCCGAACATGCATTCTTCTCTTCCCAGGGTCCGAGAGCACGCAGGGGCCGCCTCCCCACCCACCAGCCCCGGGTGCTCTGTGGCCTCAGGTCCACACACAGCGGCCCTCGCCCTTCTGGGGCAGCGGAAGGGCCCACGGGGGGAGTGCATTCCGTACAATCTCCCCTGTCCTTCCTGGCTCGGGCTGGGCCCCGCACACACACCTCTGTCACCCACAACCTGGTACGGCCCCTGAAGGTGCGGGCAGACATGTCTCTGGAAACGCCTGAATCCATCTGGTGGCATTAGCGTGCAATAACGGTGTAAAATATTTTACATCATGATCAATGGATTTCGATTTTAAGCCAAAGGCCTGAAAAGAGAAATGCATCTAAACCATTGGGCTGGGCAGAAGAATCTAACTGACCAAAACTGGAAGCCATCCTAGTGGTGTTTCGGTTTTGTCTTTCTTTTTGTTTTTAATATACTTTTATTGATTTCAGAGGGAAAGGGAGAGGGAAAGAGAGACAGAAACATCCATGAGAGAGAGAATCATTGATCGGCTGCCTCCTGCACACCCCACTGGGGATAAAGCCTGCAACCAGGGCATGTGCCCTGACCGGGAATCGAGCCGTGACCTCCTGGTTCATAGGTCAATGCTCAACCACAGAGCCAAGCTGACTGGGCATCACAGTGTTTCTTAGGCTACACCGTGAGGCTTAAGAGCATGGATGCAGAGCCCACCGCCTCAGCTGAATGCCACCTAGGCCCACTTTCTATCGGCATAACCTGGAAAAATTGCTTAACTTCTCTGTGACGGTTTCCTCATCTGCAAAATGGGGGTGAGCCTCCCAAAACTGTGGTGAGGATTAAGTGAATTTGTAGGTGAAATGATTAAGACAGAGCCTGAAACTCAGTAAGCATTTAAGACGCATGAGCATTATAAATTATCATTAGAAATAGTGTCCCCCACTCTCTCATCCTGTTTGAGCAGTTAAAACTCACGCATACCCCCAAACGAAGCAACAGGTACTTTGGATCTGCTTTGTTGTCATCCCTTATAATCTGGTTTCTTATAAATGCCCTGGTTTTGCCCATGGGAGCGCTCCGTGGTGCTTCATTCCGATTCTTTCTCATCCTCCCTTGACAGCTTCAAGAAAGTGGCTATCTGGCCAGAACCGGCCTGTGGACTGGAAGGTCCCGGGTTCGATTCTGGTCAAGGGCATGTACCTTGGTTGCGGGCACATCCCCAGTGGGGGCTGTGCAGGAGGCAGCTGGTTGATGTTTCTCTCTTATCGATGTTTCTAGCTCTCTATCCCTCTTCCTTCCTCTCTGTAAAAAATCAATAAAATATATATTTTTTTTTAAAGGGAAAAAAAGAAAGTGGCTATCGGAGCTCCAGGCCTGGTTTGCGGCTTGGTCCTCTGAAAGGAGTCATTGAAACCCGGGTCAGCTGGAACATTCCTGCTGCTCACCTTTCAGCGCGGTAACTCTGTATGAGCACAGAGGATGTCCACTCGGTCTCGGTTTTCTAAGACACAAGCACGTCATTGTACAGCGGGTGGCAACATGCTCTCCGTGATCTGAGGGCACTTTGTTCCTGCTCCTGGGCCCCGTTCTACTTTTCCCTTTGCGGTGATTAACTTGCCTGTCCCTACAACAAACACCGCTCCTGGGCTGTGAACATCCAAACAAGTGAGCGGCTGTTCACGTTTTAACAACATAGCACAGCATAAGCAAGACTTTCAGGGCAAACCCATACTGCATCTGCTTACACTAATTTCCCCCCCATTTATACATGGTAAACCACCGAGTGAAATATAATTTCGTGTTTAGCTCAGATTGAGAATTCTGAACGTATAACTTAGTTGTCAAGCTTGTTTATACAGGTTAATAAGAGCTTAATAAACTTCCCTGTCTTTTTATTAAGACTAAACAGATCTTGTTTTTCCCCCTCTTTTTACGGCATTGACATTTTGCAGTATACAGTAAATACAGTATACTTAAAAATAAATAATTCACTCTTGCCCTAACCGGTTTGGCTCAGCGGATAGAGCATCGTCCTGCGGACTGAAGGGTCCTAAGTTCGATACCAGTCAAGGGAATATATCTTAGTTGCGGACATATCCCCAGGGGGTGGGGTGCAGAAGGCAACTGATCAATGTTTCTCTCTCATCGATGTTCCTAACTCTCTATCCTTCTCCCTTCCTCTCTGTAAAAAAAAATCAATAAAAATATATTAAATAATTCACTCTTTGATGGGACCGATCACCTGCATAAAAGAATCCCATCTTGTAAGACACAGGGGTGGGCAAAAGTAAGTTAATAATAATACATAGTAATGCGAGAATGAACTTTACTTTGCATACTCACAACTGTAAACCTACTTTTGCCCACCCTTGTATATCCTGGATATTGGCCACATTTCTTAAAAGCACGTGCACTTCAGGTTTTCTGGGATTTGCCCATCGTGTGGCCCAGCAGTCGCCACAACTCGGATAATTAGGGGAGCTCCTCAGTGCCCCCAGAAAGATGACTACAAACGCTGACAGGGCCTCAGGTTCTTAAACCCTCACACGTCAGAGGTGCGAAGGCTGAAGCCAGGGTAAGGAACTCGCCCAGGCAGTGCTGGGTGCAAGAGTGACCCTGGAGCCCAGGGCTCCTCACCACAGGCCAGGCTGCCATGGCGTGGCTCCTCCAGGCCACCAACCCACAGACACTCCCGGCATCCATGCAGGAAGGGGTCTCCCCCTCCTCCGGCAAACCCCATGAGCCTTGTCTGGCAGCAACAACAGTAAGAACCAAGGATTCGATCTCACTTATGTCTCAACTCCCTGTCTGCGGCAACATCCAAAATAAGGACCACACCCAGCAGTGTGGTTCAGTGGTTGCACAGCGACCTATGAACCAGGAGGTCTCTGTTAGAGTCTGGTCGGAGAACATGCCTGGATGCAGGCTCAATATCCAGTGGGAGGCGTGCAGGAGGCAGCTGACCAATGATTCTCTCTCATCATTGATGTTTCTCTCTCTCTCTCTCCCTTCCTCTCTGAACTCAATAAAAATACTAGTATATTTAAAAATAATAATAATACGGATCGGGGATTCTCTGAATTTCTTTCGCTTCTCTTCTGTTTTTCTCCCAAAGGATGAAGGCGCTGCTAATTTTTCTTCCTCCGCCCACACCTCTGCCTGGGTCTGTGCCTCAGAATCTCAGCACCCTGACGCCGGGCCCGCCTCTCAGTGGGCGTCCTCAAAACCCTCTGCACGTCACAGGCTTCTCACCTGGGCGGCTTCTATCAGGACTGGAAAGCAGACACCAAGGCATGGAGATGTCCAGAGACGCTCTGGGTTTTGGCCAGTTTGTTAGTTTCTGTCAAATGTTCTCACATGTGTGAACACACAATGCTAGAGGCACTTATTTATTTATTTTTTTTTTAGACGGTCCAATTACAGTCACTCTTTTCATAAGGAAAGCTCTAAATCTCTCTGACATGCCTTTCATTTGCTCAAGGTTCTACCTGTTAAAATCGGGGTGTTCCCTGCAGGGAATTTTCCATGGCTTTCTGTCTCCGTCCCTATGAAAGAGGCAACTCCTGGTCTGATCTGTAAGCGTAGCCTTCCATTTGGAGAAATCTGTGCATCTGCCAGAGGTAGTAAGACACTGAACAGCTAGCTACTCTTGAAGCTCACAAATTTCATAAGCAAAATATGATTTTAAAGCTATTACTTCTAAAACACAAACCAACATAAATAAAAGTGCCTACTAGAAAAGTTTAACTTTTTAGTCACTCTTACGTTCCTGAAAATTTCTAAAACATCTTACAGTAAACATTTTTTTATTTATTATTTATTTTTTTAACACTTTTATTGATTTTTTTTACAGAGAGAAAGGGAGAGGGATAGAGAGCTAGAAACATCGATGAGAGAGAAACATCGATCAGCTGCCTACTGCACACCCCCCACTGGGGATGTGCCTGCAACCAAGGTGCATGCCCTTGACCGGAATCGAACCTGGGACCTTTCAGTCCGAAGGCTGACGCTCTACCCACTGAGCCAAATTGGTTTCGGCAGTAAATATTTTTTTTAAAGGCTAATCTTTTCACATGTGGAGAGGGTACATTGTAAGTTTAATGTATAACACTTAAATGTTATTAAGCACTTAACCATTTTTTAAAAAATTCTTAACGATTCATCTAGAACAGGTAGCTGGCTCTATATCTCTATAAGCCTGCTTCTGAATGGCTTGTGAGTTTGTGCATGTCGATCTCTCCCCACTGAGCCTGTCCTCGGCTCAAAGGTGAGGGCCATGTCCCCAACTTCTCCTACCTTCCCTGTTACGATGCTCATCCACAAAGATAAAGGCTTCATGACAGAACGCATTTGTTCTAAAACCAAAACCTGCCTTTCCGCTTTCCGACACGCCTCATTTTACACGGGAGCAGCTCCCACACTGCTAGAAGGCACGGCTGCGGCACTCTATGCTCACCAGAACTGGCCACACGCCTGATCCTCTGGAAAGACAAGGTCCGGTCAGCACTGAGAGTCCTGCTGTTGCTAGTGCACCGCAAGCAGGAAGCAGCAGGGCCCCCTTTGGCCTTAGGACCCGGTGTTATCCGCAAGCCGGAGGCGTCGGGCTTGGGTGCGTTCCTCCCTGCGGGCGCTGCTGTTTTTGAAGCAGAACCCTGTGAAGAAAAGAGTTAAAATGTGAGTTCAGATGACACCGTCCCCACACTACTCCTTGGGGTGTCACTATTATACATAAACGAAACCATTCGTGTCTATGGAGCTGTCTTTTTAAATTTTTTAAAAATGTATTAGGAAGCTATTGGTTAATGAAATTGAGTTTTTAGGCTGCAGCTTTCACATTCAAGACTACAACAGCAACTCTTCTCTTAATTTCCATCCTCCCAACCTTCTCTATGTGTTTCAGGCCCCACAATCATGTGGCATAAGCCAGTTCCTTACAACCAATATTATTTATCTGCCTTCCTATGCATACATAGATACATATATCTTTATATATTCCTACACACATATGTCTAGCTATACATATATACATATTGCTATAGACTGAATGTTTACACCCCCCCCAAAAAAATAATAAATTGAATTCATAAACCTTCAATGTGATAGTATTTGGATGTGGGGCCTTTGAAAGTTGATGAAATCTTGAAGGTGGAACGCTTACGAATGGGATTTATGCCCTAAAGAGACGCCAAAGTGCTCTAATGCCACCTCCTGCCACGTGAGGGTACAGGAGAGGACAGCTGTCTACAGGAAGTGGGCTCTCACCAGATGCCGAATCTGCTGCTGGTGCCTTCATCTAGGACAGTGGTCGGCAAACTCAGTCCACAGAGCCAAATATCAACAGTACAACGATTGAAATTTCTTTGGAGAGCCACATTTTTTAAACTTAAACTTCTTCTAACGCCACTTCTTCAAAATATACTTGCCCAGGCTGTGGTATTTTGTGGAAGAGCCACCCTCAAGGGGCCAAAGAGCCGCATGTGGCTCGCGAGCCACCGTTTGCCAACCACGAGTCTAGGACATCCCAGCCTCCAGAATGGTGAGAAATAAATGCTTGTCATCCATCTTTTTTAAAAGGACAATTTGTTTAAGCAGAGATGCCAGATGAATATTTAATTTTCATTTTTACCATGAAGAAATTCAAGCTCTTCACAGTTTACTCTTAAAATCATCGTTGTCTGCCTTCTGTCCCCATCAGTGAAACTGTTCCCAAGGTGACTAATGACCTTGTAGGCCCTCCCTGTGGCATCAGATGACGATGAGTACATCTTTCCTAGATTTCTCGACACAGTTCTTCCTGGTTTTCTTTCCACTTGTCTGCTTACTCCTCCTCTGGATTCTGTTCTTCTGTACCTTTCAAGGCTAGCCACCACGAGGGTCCTAAGTTGGTGCTGTTCTCTTCTCTCACCATATACTCTCCCTAGATGGTTGTGTCTACTGTTTCAACCTTCACCTATACATTGTCAAGTTCAAAGTCCGCATGTCCAAGCGAGCAGTCTCTCTGGAGTTTCCCAGAGACCTAGCTTCTATCTTAAGGTTACCAGACGTCCCAATTTTTAACAATCTGTCCCTCGTCCTGTGGAATCTTTCCAAAAATCGGGACTGTTTTAAAATGCTGAGGGACGTGGAACAAATTGTTAGAAATTGGGACTGACCCACCAAAAGTGGGACATCTGGTCACCTTATGTCTGCACCTGCCCCCTGACATCCTTCAGGCACCTCTACCTAGCAATGTGGACAACTATCGTGTTGTTGTGGTTTACTGACCAGCATCTCGTCCTTACAGGATGAAAACTACCATGCTCAACTCGAAATGCATGCATCAACTCATTTAATCCTCATAACCCTCCAAAGGTGGATGCTCCCATCACATCCCAAGTTACAAAAGAAGAACAGAAAGCAGTTTCTAAAAGTAAACTCACTTCACCTATTCATCTCCAAACATCAACAGTCGTAGACACCCAACTTAAACAATAAACTTCTTCTAGGTCCTTCTTCCTTACTGCTTAAAGCCCTCTCCATGGCATCCTCTCCCTTCTCCACCCACCTCGGGGCAGGCCTACGTCGTTTCTTGGCAGGATTACTGAGAACACGTCCTCGGGATCTTTCTGGTCCCACCAGCCCCCAGCTCATCCTGCCCTCCGCCACTAAGGCAATCTCTCTAGACTCCAATTTCGGCTCAGAGCGGCTTCCCTCTGTCTTCCCAGTAAAGTCCGCCTCCGCAGCAAGGCAGGCCAAGCCCTTTCAGACGTGCCGGCCCCTGCTGTCTTCTCCAGCTTACTGCTAAGGCTCTGCACTGAGGACTCCCATCACACTCTCTGCCTGGTGTCCCCTGACTGAGGAGACCACGTTTCTCCACCTTGGTGCATGCTATTCCCTATGCCCAGAACGCCCTTCCAACACATACCTGCCATTTAAGCTTCAGCTGGCGACTGATACAGTATCCCCCCCAAAAAGCCTTCCATGACTTCTCTCCCCCGTCACCCTCCTCCCCCCCATTCTGACCCCTGCGGCCCAGCAGCCCATATGTACTTAATACCCTTTTGGCTTATCTTCGAAAATTACCCACTGCAGCCCTAGCTGATTTGGCTCAGTTGGATAGAGCATCAGCCTGTTGGACCCAAGGGTCCCAGGTTCGATTCTGGTCAAGGGCACGTACTTCAGTTGCAGGCTCCTCCCCTACCTGAGCCCTGGTCAGGAGCATGCAGGAAGCAACCAATCAATGTGCTTCTCTCAGTAGATATTTCTCTCTCTCTCTCTTCCACTCACTCTAAAAATCAAGTGGAAAATATTTCTAGGTGAGGATTAAAAATAAATGATAAATAAAAATTACCCACTGTGCCGGGACCGGTTTGGCTCAATGGATAGAGCGTCGGCTTGGGAACTGAAAGGTCCCGGGTTCGATTCCACTCAAGGGCATGTACCTTGGTTGCGGACACATCGCCAGTAGGGGGTGTGCAAGAGGCAACTGATCTATCTCTCTCCCTTCCTCTCTGCACAAAATCAATAAAATAAAATAAAATAAAATAAAATTACCCACTGTACTAAACACTACAATTGGTCAGGGGCTATGTCTTTCTTTTCTATATCCTAACAGTCCCCATCCCATATAGCATGCTGTTCTACATAGAGTATGAAAGCAAATTCTGACAACATAAGCCTTTGCTTGTATCCTCCCTTTCCATCACGGAAAACGCAGGCTCATAGAGACTCAGTAACTGCCTGGGGTTACTCTGCCATTGAACGAAGGAGCTACAATAGAAACCGGGTCCAACTCCAGAGTCCTTGAACTGCATGGGAACTTTTTTTGTTTCTGTTGCTTAAAATGGAACTGTAAAGTCCTCTCCCCTCCCCCGCAAATATCTGAGAGTTGCTATAGAAAACATACAGCTTTTTACTTAAGAATAAAATGGGTTTTATTTAATGTACCAGAAATCAATTATGTTCGGGCTGCAAGAGCCCTCACTCGTTGCCTTGTGGGGGGTGTAGGGGGGAGGGGTCCTCAAAAGATGACTGGCCCCAAGCCACAGGAGCAATCAGAGGCAGAATGCAGAGAGACACCACTCCCCGGAGCTGCTTCCTTGCAAGAGACTGGGTACTATTTCTGTGTTGATACTGTGCCAGCATCCCCAGCCATTCCTAAACTGTGGTCCAATACATTTCAAAGTTCATAAAAAAAAACAAAAACAAAAAAAAACACTTTTTTCCCTCTAGATAAAAAACAACCAGATGTGTCACTTCAAATAACGAATTACCCTAACACAGTAAAGTAGCCTGTCCTTCTAAGCTTGCTATGATGCCCAAAGGAACATTAATACTCAACACGAAACACGGAGCTTCAGGAATTTCTTTTCCCCAGCATGCAGGCTTCCAATTAACACTCGAAAATGTACCGACCAGAGAAAGGATGACGGGCTAGGGTAGCAACAACTGAAAGCAAACGAGCGCCTCGCTCCGCAATGGGACTGACCGTTAGTGGGTAACCCACGGCTACCACAGCCCTGGGTCTCCCCCACCCTTCCCCGACGCAGGCAAAACTCTGACTTACCAAGAACAGAGACTCGTAGTCAAAGGTCTCGTTCAAAACGTCCTTCTTGGGGTCTTGTTTCTCCAGAAGGGTCCCGTTTTCTTGCGCTCCCTTCTCCTCGGGGCCAGTCCCGTGGAGGTGGGGCACGTAGGTCATGTCCAAGCACTCGGGGCTCTCCAGCGTCCCCGAGAACAGGCCCCTGCACTTCTGGAGGAACGAGGCCACGGAGCCAGGCTCGCACACCGAGTGGGAAGGGCTTGCCTTGTCAACATCCTCCCGATTCGATCTCGGGGCAGGCGTTGTTCTGGAAACCCTGTGGGAAGCGTTTTTGGAATGCGTCGCAACATGCTCGGCCTGGCTCGTGAGGAGCTTGTTCAGCTGCTGCTTCTGGGTCTTGCTGATTGGGGCTTCTGCCTTCGTGTCCGCGTTCAGGTCGGCTCTCCGTGCTCTGCTCAGTGCGGCCAGCTGTCTGGAGGAGGAGACCGTCGAGGGGGGTGAGCAGGCGCTGGGCAGCGGAGGCCTGGGCACGACCTTGGACAGAGCAGGGTCGTGGGACTGCGACGCAGGTCTCGACATCACTTTGGCTTTGACGTTCTTGAAGTTGGGCCTCGGGTAGCTGATGATCTTGTTCTTTCTGACCTTACTGCCCATCGGGCTGTTTGCTTTGGCTGTGGGCTTTCCCAGGTTCGGTTTAGAGAGACTCTTCTCCAGGGGACCACATTTCTCCGTCGCCTCGACGACGGGGGAAACAAAAAAGGTCGCGTTCAGGGGCTTGGGGACCGGCGTGGACATGCAGATGGTGTCGTGTGCACTGATGAGCATGTCGTTTTCATCCCAAGTCAGTTCAAGTCCAGGGGGGCTACCTGGGACCAGCTCTACGGTGTGATGTTGGATCTCCAGGTCCACGTCATGGGGGGCCATGTGTGTGTGTGCGGCCCCGGTGACATTGGGTTCGGGGTGCAGCCCTGGGGCCGTGCTGTTGTCAAAAGGGCACTCGTCATCAATGAGACAATCAGACACAGTTTCTCCTGGATTCTGGCCCATGTCCTCTGGCCCCCGTGAGCTCGCTGAATACGACTCACTGTGCAGTTCATCATCAGATGTACAAAAGAACTCCTTTCCTGCAGGCCCGCCGGGGATGTCCATGCCATCGGAAGCGTGTGTCTCTTCTTCTCCCACGAGCCTTTGCGGCGGCCCATCTGTGTGCTCCCTGGTGACATTCCCTGCAGAACACGGACAGGCGTGTCCAGCACCTGGAGCAAAGGCGTCCGTCTGCATCAGCACCTCGGAGGACACCGTGTGCGCTGCCCCCCGGGCCTCAGAGGCTGTGGCCGCGGGGCTCTGAAAGACACCTCTGTCGTGGCTCGCCTCCATCACGTGTGTCTTGTCAGAATGGGAAGCCGGGCAAAGGGAACAGGACAGAGACGTATTTCCACTTCTCATGCCAGCTGGCTGCAGGCTCCCAGGGGCGTGCAAAGACTGGCTCTTTCCCACGGCATGGTGTTCTGCAAAGGCGCAGTGAGCGTTATCCGCTCTCCCGTCCAAGGTCTGGTGCAGCTCCCAGGCGCCCGGGCAGTCCGCACCGCTCCCATCGCCCTCCTCGGGTTTCCGCGCAAAAGGCGGAGCTGGCTCCTCACTCTGGCCCTGGGGGGCCTTTCGGGGATGACAGCTGCTATGCAGGTGCCCAGGCTCCCCTGGGACTACAGAGAAATCACTCGGAGGCTTCTGGTGATCGGGGTCCTGGACACACGGAGGGTTTAAGGTCATGTTTTCACCAACGTCTGCAGTGGCGTCGGCGTCATCGTCCACCACCATGGCGTCTGGGTTGGCACAAGGCCAACCACCCGCCAAGCAGCTCTGTGGAGGTGGCGGTGTGGGGTGGTAGGCATAAGTGTTTCCATGTTTGTCATTGACAAGTAAGGGCTGTAGGTCGTCTTGCGGCCTGTCTCCTGAGCTAAATTCGTTCATCCTGAAGATGAACTCAACACCTCTGCCACTTCAGTTCTCTCTTAAATCCTTTCCAATGAGGGGGAAGGAAACACTGTCCATCTTCGATGGTCTTCTCAGCACAGTCGAAAGTTTCTTGGTCTGAGATGTTCTAGAGCCGTCCCCTGGAAGAAATCACATATTTTAACTCACGGAAAATGATAGAACAATGAACAAGTCACCGCTTGGTTCATTTCAGTTGCTATGTTTTTTACATTTAGAACTTACGACTACGGATGCAGGTAGTTCAGTTATCATTGGCTAAAGTATCAGCCCCTTTTCAAAATGTTTTTTTATTGAGGGCATGGGGCCCGGGAAAGGCAGACACTGCCACTGTTGCCCCGGCGATGGACTTCACATCATGGATGCCTCTTCTTGACTCAGTGAATCTTACTCATAGTAAGAGAGAAGAAACAGGAATCTGTAAGAGTTTCCTTCTTGTTGGCTGAAAGAGTGAGCATTGGTCCTAATTTGTTTAGGACAGTCCCAATTGATGCCCATTGTCCCAACCTTTGATGGTGAGGCAGTCAATTAGCATATTCCCTCCTTATTGGTTGTGGGCACTGCCATCTTTGTGATGACCTGAGGGTCAATTAGCATGTTCCCTCTTTATTAGATAGGATATATACACATTTCTATAAATTGCTGATTTATTTTCGCTTTTCGGAAGGGTCCTTGTGTTTCTCTGGAGGGTGATCGCCAGGCAGCCTGGCAGGCTCCGCTAAGGAGTTGGAGATGAGTGACGATTTCCAAGCATGTCAAACTCACGGCAGTTTGACATGCCTGATAGGGAGTTGGCACTCTCTTTTCCCCATTCAAACTCATCCCATTTTAAAGTTGAAAAAAAGTTGATCATTTTCTTTTTAATTTTTAAAAAATTGAATTCAGAGAGAGGAAAGATAAGAGAGAAAGAGAATTAGGAGCATCAATAATGAGAGGGAATCATTGATCAGCTGCCTCCTGCACACTCCCTACTGGAGATCAAACTTGGGACCCGAGCATGTATCCTGATCAGGAATTGAACCAGTGACCATTTGGAGCATGGGACAATGCTTACCCACTGAGCCACACCAGCCAGGCAAAAATTGTGGATTCTTAATAGTTAAATAGGTACTCTAATGGGAGTTCCTTAAAATGTTAAATAGAGTTACTGCATGACACACCAACTCTCCTCTCAAGTATCTAATAAAGAGAAATGAAAACATGTGTCCACACAAAATTTTTACAGAAATGAGCATGATTCTGAATAGAAGTATCCTATCCTATATAATAAAAAGCTAAATATGCAAATCAACTGAACAGCGGAATGACCAGTTGTTTTGACACTCACTGACCACCAAGGAGCAGACACTCAATGCAGGAGCTGGCCCCTGGTGGCCACACCACTCAGCCAGAAGCCAAGCTCACAGCTGGCGAGAGTAGCAGTGGTGGTGGGAGTCTCGCCTGCCTCCGCGGCAGCGCTAAGAAGTCTGACTGCCAGCTTAGGCCCGCTCCCAGTCATCAGTCCGACTTCCCCTGAGGGCTCCCTAACTGCGAGAGGGCGCAGGCCAGGCTAAGGGACACCCCCACTCCCCCAGAGCATGAATTTCTAGTTATTCATAATAGCAAAAAAGTAAATAAAAGCAACTCAAATGTCCCTTACCTGGTAAACAGATAACAAACATGCTGTAAACCTTACAACCGATATATTCTTCAGCAACAGAAAGGAATATGGATTCATACCACATGGATACGACGCTACAACTTAAAACATTGTATGTAATGACAGAAGCCAATCACGAAAGACTACATATTATGTGGTACCATCTACATGAAGTGCCCAGAATGGATAAGTCTGTAGAGACAAAGTTGATGAGTGGTTCTCCAGGGCTATTTTGTTTGTTAGTTTATTTTGATCATTAGGTCCCACACCTCAGTGAAATCATATGGTACCTACTTGTCCCAGGCACTACACCTGAGGGGTGAAGAGCAGTGCCCCACAGAGCCACAATGCAGCCTGAAACAAGGAGGAAAGTTGATGATACTGACCCCGCCTTTATATTAAACTTTTGGTTTTTGTTCACCTTGGATTTCCTGCATTAATACCAATTTTTAAAAATAATTTGCTAAAAATTATGTGTCTTGATCACTGAAGTTTTGGGGAGCACCCTTAAATTCATAACTCGAGGCAAGTGTCTCATGCCTCTACCCTAGTCCCAGCCCTGTCCACCGAGGGCACCAGCTCCTTCCTCTGCTGCCCCCCAGGGGCAGGCCCTGTCCCCACAGTGGAAGGGGTGGTGGCCTGGCGGTGCCCTGTTCTGCACTAACGTGACAAAGTGAGTCAGTAAGTCTCTGTCCCTCAAACTAGCTCCCGTATAAAATTCACCTGTCATTGTAGAGGAAGTCCTATAATAATTCATCTATCTAGTAATAGATAGTAATAATTAATGTCGTTTTTTAAACATTCGTTTAAAATCTTGCTTGGCGTTGACTTGTATTGACATAATCTTCAAACACGTGGTATCTACAGAACGTGTGAAGTGCAATTAACAAGTTTTGCTTGAAAAAGTTTGTGTTTGGTTTGGTTTTTGTTGCAAAACTAGGGCTAAGAAGATGGCGGATGAAGAGCATATTCGGCACTGCATGCTTTACGAGTTCCAATTAGGAAGAAAAGCAAGTGAGGCTGCAAAAAACATCTGTAGTGCTCTTGGTCAAGATGCAGTTAGCGCCAGAAAATGCCAGCATTGGTTTGAGAAATTTCGCGAGGGAAATTTTTCGTTAGATGACAAGAGTGGTCGAGGCAGTGTGTCCAATTTTGATCAAGAAGCTCTTCAAGCTCTTTTGGTGCAAAATCCTCAAATTACCCAACAAAAGCTTGCGACAACTTTAAATTGTTCACAAAAAACAATTTCCAATCAATTGCGTGCACTTGGCAAAGTCCAAAAGTTTGGAAAATGGGTTCCTCATGAGTTGACAGACAACAACCGTAATCAAAGAGTCACAATTTGCAGTTCGCTCCTCTCTCGTCAAAACCGTTTGCCGTTTTTAGAGCAAATTGTTACCGGAGATGAAAAATGGGTGCTGTATGTTAATTTGAAAAGGCGGCCTCAATGGTTGGACAAAAATGAGGCTCCGCAGCCCACGCCAAAACCTGACTTGCATGCGAAAAAAGTGATGTTGTGTGTTTGGTAGAATTTTAAAGGAATTCTTCATTATGAACTTTTACCATCTAACCAAACCATTACAAGTGCAGTGTATAGTGCCCAATTGGAAAGGTTAGCCCAAGCTTTAAGAGAAAAAGAACCCGCGCTGATTAATCGGAAGGGCGTAATTCTTCACCACGATAACGCACGACCGCATACTGCAAGAATCACTGCTGAAAAACTGCGCCAGTTGGAATGGGAAGTTCTCCCTCAACCTGCATATTCTCCTGATATTGCCCCTTCCGATTACCATTTGTTTCATTCTTTGCAAAACTTTCTTCTTGGAAAAAAATTTAATAATGAAGAATGCCTCAAAAATGCATTGACCGAATTTTTTGCATCAAAATCATAAGAATTTTACAACAGAGGGATTAAAATGCTTCCTGAGCATTGGGCACAAGTAGTTTAAATAAATTCGATTTAAAAAAGTATTAGAAAACGACATTAATTATTACTAGACCTAATATAATTTCATCTAGGACCATCTGCCCACCTTCCTCTTTTTCTAACTTTTCAAATGGTTCATAACCAGAGAGAGGAAGAAGGTAGGAACAATGTTCAAAGAGTGAACGAGCAATCCTGACCGTGTCCTGGCCGCGGCCCTGGGGCAGGGTCTGAGAGACCAGTCCCTGGGGAGCCAGGTCCACTTCAGTTCCCGGCTGCTGGACAGGTCCTGGCACTCACCCAGAAAAGGCTGCGGGGGGCTGATGAACCCCAAGAAGCACAGGGCTTCAGGCAACAGCCATTCACCTAGCACTGCAGGAGGCCGCCTGTGCTTTAACCATCAGCCGCTCGGGATAGCGGTCTTGAAATGGGGATATTATTTATTGAGCCCTCTCCAAAGTGTACATAGGTTGCCTAGGCAATGAGCCGTGAGACATAAACAAGGAGTCAAGTTTATGGGAGCAAACCACACGTGGGGTACCTGGGGCTTCTGTCCCTGGAGGGGGGGGGGGGACAAGGTGGATGGCGCTTCGGTTCAGGGTCCGAGCCAAATGTTTTTCTCACATTGGTGGTTTGCAGCCTAAATCCTGCAACCCAGCTCACTTTTCCAGCTGGGATATTGGTGTTAAAATAGCACAGCCCTGGTCGGTTTGGCTCGGTGGCTAAAGCGTCAGCCTGCAGACACAAGGGTCCCAGGTTCGATTCCGGTCAAGGGCATGTACCTTGGTTGCGGGCACATCCCCAGTAGGGGGGATGTGCAAAAAGCAGCTGATCAATGTTTCTCTCTCATCAATGTTTCTAACTCTCTATCCCTCTCCCTCTTCTCTGAAAAAAAAAAAATCAATAAAATATATTTTAAAAAGTAATAATAAAATAGCACAGACTGGGCAAGAGACTTTAGACCTAAAACCATTAATTATTACTAGACCTAGTGCTAATTATTATTAGCACTGCTCTGCCCGCAGGTTAAGTGTTTCCGCAGGAGGAGGGCGGCACTGGTAACGCCCGGGAAACGAGGCCTGGGCTGCGCCAGGCAGCCTCCAGGTGCAGGCCTCACAGAGGGACCTTGAAGGACCCCTGGCAGATGCACCCGGGCGCCAGCAAGGCCGAGGAGAAGAGCGGCAGGCGCCAGAGAGCACAGGTGCAGCCGCAGGGCACAGAGTGGCCTCGGGCCCTTTTACTCAGCGGTGAGCGACATCGTCCTTACGGCTTTCCACGCAGAGGCTGCTGTGGGTCCTGTAGAAAACTAGAGCAGGTGCCGCGTTAAACTGTGAATGATAAGCCCGGTGGGCAATGCTGGAGGGGAAACCTCTAATCCATCCGCATTAGAAGACAAGGAGCAAGTGATGGGTGGGG